AACAATAAAGAGGGTCTTGCACTATGCATACTTACAAATTATGGACACCATTGGAAACAAAAATGGAGGGGCAAGGGAGACCATGAGAAGGGAGGCCCTGCTTCAGTTTACACTGTCTCGGGGACCCGACAAAATGAAAAAATGGTAACTAGGAGAGGTATTTTATCCGCTTTCTTATGGTAATAGGATGGCTATATACCATATCTGCTCCTTTACTCTGATTACAATAATGTCAATAGCTGCCCCAAACCATTGAGAAATCCATAATTAAGCATCAAGATTCATGATTTACATCACTTATTTATTAATAATTCCAATATATGAATGCGGTCCAACTGCTGAGATACTTCATAGCAACCTAATTGCTGAAACCTGCCCCAAACTTCCTTCTTTCAGAATCCTGTGGCGTATTGCATGTGTTTGTGGTTCCTCGTTAGTCTCTCAAAATTGGGGTGCAAAATATCTGACCTGGAATTTTCTCCTTAGGCCTATTCAGGTAAATCCCAGACTTCAGCATACCTACTCCCACAGAGCCTTAACCTAATATAAGACCCTTTATTGTAGCAAGGTAAGGCTATGTCTACACTACTGCGATAATTCAACCTATGCTGCACAACTCCAGCTACATGAATAACGTAGCTGGAGTCGATGTACCTTAGGTAGAGTTACCACAGGGTCTACTTACCTTACTCTTCTCATCAGGGTAGAGTATAGGGTTCGACTGCAGAGAGATCTGTAGTCGATTTGGTGGGTCTTTACTAGACCTGCTACATCGACCACTGGTGGATTGATCTCAGAGCTTTGATCCCGGCTGTAGTGTAGTACCTGCCCTTAATAACCCATTTATATATGATCACCGGCTTGTCCCTCCATGCATGTTCCAAGCTAATAAGCAATACTCTGATAATGCATCCGAAGAAGTGGGCTGTAGTCCACGAAAGCTTATGCTTTAATAAATTTGTTAGTCTCTAAGGTGCCACAGGTACTCCTGTTCTTTTTACTCTGATAATGACATTTTACCTCTAGCGTGTATAAAATTGCCCACAAGACATGAGACTAGGTCATAGATCATAAAATCAGGTTGGGGTCAGCAGGAGTGAGAGTTTGTAGAGAGTCTTGTCCCCCATCTGCAGCAGCCACAAGCTGTCTGCCCTCCAGGCTCCTTGGATCTTTGAGCCTGTCCCTCCTAGGTTGCGTGGCCCAGTTCTTGTTTCTTACATTGTCTTTTTCTGAAAGTATTAGAGGCTGTTGTTCCTGAATTTTAGTGTTTAATTCCCCAGCCTGCTCCACACACTGGGGGAGTTTAATTCTCCCTCCCATTACACCCGAGTCACTAGATTTCCTAATTTCCCCAAATGTGCTTTTGCGATGTCACAGTTCTGGGGTAGCTGAGCCTTTGACCTGCCTCCACGGTCTGCTCAAGGAATGCCCTCTCAAGCATCAGGCCTCTAGCCAGCCCCTCTCTATGGGTGAGGACCCACATGCCTCTCCTTTTTGACTAAGGTGTGAGGATTGCAGCTTGTCCTCCACTGTGTTCACTGGAATAAGCTCCAGCTCCTGTGCTTTGCTCTCTCTCCAAGGACTGTGAGCAGTATGTGTGTGTGTGTGTGTGTGTGTGTGTGTGTGTGTGTGTGTGTGTGTGTGTGTGTGTGATAGAGGTGGGAATTTT